TTAAATTCGCGCAACGTATTTCGGAAATTTATGGCCCGAGGAATTGCAGAACCGCGGAAAAGGCTTGTCTCTGGAACTGTAATTTGCATAGCATCTAAAACCGATCGGATCGTTCTTACCTGGCAACGATAACGATTATCTTGAGAATTAACTGCGTTTCCTTTGAAAAAATTGAGGTCTCCGGAGAATGCATATTATTTCCAGCGGATAAACCGAACTGTGTGTCGGTACTTTATTTATTAAATACGTTTCGCCAAATTAGCAACGTGGAATTCGCTTAAGAGAAATACTTTTCCTTTGAACGCGAAGAATGTACTTCATTCTTTGTACAGACGAAATATTTCATGTCTGGGTAGGAGGGAAAACATCGAACCTACAAACGTGTATCGAATGATATTGCCAAAGTTTGCATCATGCGTGGAACAAGCCTAGCACATGTGATTAGAGAGATTAAAGGGAAACATTTTATCGCAAACGTTTCGAGAGAATTTAATTCACCTGAAAGCTTTTAGAGGGTATCGCCACGTTTGGGAAGTTACTACAAAATTCACTTTGCAACAGGAAGTCGTGCAATTGCGATATATTCGATAGAACGATTGCGTTTCGTGCTTTCATCGTATCTGGCGCATAATCGAATCCTTTCAACTTCGTTTTGCGGAAATGATTAAACCGTTCAAAATAAACACAGACCACCTGTGCTTCGGGCTACCCTTACTCGAGGTATATTCACGTATTAATTATGATATTTCATTGTAGCACTAATTATGGTATTGCTCATTACTTTCAGTGACGTGTATCTAAAACATTTATCTTCCCTCACAGTTAGAAAATTATAAGAAAAACTATGTTGAAAGAGAAATTTAAATGCTGATATAAATTCAGTTCTCCATAAGCTACAAGTTATTTCAATCAGTATTGAAAATGTTTCCCAATACAAATATTTATTAATACTTTAATACAATCAGCCGCCGTTTCAGCAATTATATTTCGAACTATCATCTCTTCTATCGTTATTAAAATGTTAATCGCAACTGTATCCTCGATCTACAGTTTCACCATCAAAACAATAAAGAAAAATCGAAGTAATTACAGCAGACTCGAACCAATAATTGAAATACACACAGTTCATATACAGCTCAATGTTTATATCGCAGTACTTCCGCGATCGCGCTTCCATTGGCGGATCTCGTGGGGGAATGTTAATCCAGAAATGCTTCCTATCTCTCGGTGGGCAATCTCTTCTTCGTCTTCACTCGTGCGAAAAGTCACGCGACAATGAGAGTGGTGGGCAAAAACCAGAATGAGACCATTAAATCTTCTTCCGTCGTCGCGGACCCGTGCTTTCACGATTTCTCGATCTGGAACTGCTCTCGAATCAGGTTGAAAACAGAGCGAGTGACTCTCGATCGTCGATCCGTGACACCTTAAGCGTGCCTATATGGACACACGCTTAGCGCACACGTATCCGTGTCGAGAAATAAAGCGGCAAAGTTATGCCGCTTTTTCCGCCCTGATCTCCCTCTACGCGTTTACGGCGAGTACATACCGGGTGTCCTTGGCGGAATGAAAGTACCCTGGAAAACGTGACCTCTCCTTCCACCTATGAGTAATGCTAGCCGCGAGCCTAAAGTCTCTCGGCGCTAGCCTCTGACGGATCGAGGTTGCTCCGAGATCACTCTCTGCTTTCTCGAATGGAAAAGTTTGGAAATTCTTTCACTTTCACGGCTATTTATAGATAATTAAGCGATTTTTTAGAAGATTTTTTTACGTTTTTTGAAGTTCAGAGGCCAGGTTTATGAGTATGATAGGTGGTTCAGAATTAATTCAGAATTAATTTTATTTTAGTCCTTCAGTGAAATGTCCTGTCAAAATCCTTCATCCACTGTTGAATAGTGGTCACATATTTGATTTAATAAGCTAATTACTATGCATTTATGCGTTTTTTGTGAGTCTCGTGATGTTTGCTTGAAAATAAAATTCTCTCGACAGTTTTTATTCCTACTTTTGACTATTAAACGCGACCAAACGTGACACGTTCTAAACTAATACTGTGAAAGTTCTGGTACCGCGATGTCAGCTTTTTCCAACCGGACGCCGGGCGTCCCGTACACTTGAACTTTTTCACACTGGATGGCTGGTAAAGTCAAATACTTTCCACGTTATGAATTGCTAATTCTATGGAACTTCCGGAGTGAAATTTGTTTGCGTCGTTATGAAAATGAATCGCTCGAGAGCGGTGTTTCATTGGCAAAGGTGAAGAAAGAGTGCGCAGAGTGATTCGATAATGGCGAAAAGTTTACAGTCGGGGTCTTCGCCTTCGGAACTAATAAAGAAAAGTTTTAGAGGTATAAGCACCTTTAAATCACGGCGTTGCTCCGTTGTTGTCGATGCTCTCGATTGATTTATGGCTTCATTGCGTGGCACTGGCATGAATGGAGGCCAAATGGACTTTTCGATACTGATTCGTGGCATTCATCACCATAAAAAGATATTGGGTCTTCTTGGAAATTAAACAAACTTCTAATTCAATTAAATATGAAGTTGGTCAGAATTGAAATAAAAGTTTAACTCTCTATGGGCCCGTGTAATTTTCAAATGAAGTATGATGAAGAATTAGTTTTTTCACAAGATGACGTATACGTCTTTATTATACAATGTCTGTGATAACCAATAACAATATTTATGGCGGTTGGCAGCACCATCAACCTGAAATATCAAACTAATCCTTTGGGATTTGTTTCCAGAAAAAAAATTCGGTTCATAGAAGGTTAAAATATTTTAGGAGGCCATTGTCAAATTAAGTCCAGATAGAAAGGATTGTTGACTCTTCGTTCGAATTAGAAGCACTGATCATCCATCGAAATGCTAATGCAATCACAGGAAAGTGTGAGATAATTATACGCGTCGGGCATTATGCGTGTTCTCGATTCACTAATCGCTAGTTTGATAACGGGATTCGAATTGATTGTAGCAGAAGAGGAGAATAATTCTCTCTTAAACAATCATATGGGCGACACCGACCCGCGAGAGGGTTTATCGCTCGGATCTATGCCAGCCATGCACAATCCTGGATTTAAAGTGGCATTCGACGGGAATGACCATGCGTTGCGCGAACTTGAAGCTATCTGAAAAAGGTAAACGAAATTCGCGACGTCTGTGGCGTTCTTGGCACTCGTTTTCATTAAGCACGCAGAACGAGATGCTGGAAGTCCTTCGCATAGCGCGATGGGAGTCTTAATGCGATAACATTAACATAAAAACATCGTTGAATTCACCGCTCAAGATTTTGTAAATTGTTATTCTTAATGCGGCGGTTACTGGTGAATTATTGCGCCCACCTTGGCACCGGCGCGGAGATAATTCGTGCAATTTCATTGCCCTTTTACATACTACGGCGACCAGCGGTTAAATTCACTTAGCGCTGTATCAGCATGATGCATTAGCGTTGGCAACTACTTCGACTTCTGCTAAGCCTCTTTATTATGGTTTGGATAGAGCAGCTCGCTGCGAATTGCCACTTACGTATGACAAACTTGGCATTTCCATAATATTTTCTGTTAGCGAACTTTGGGGATTTGTAAGATTGTTGAAATTCAATGATTGGTGCAAGAACAGAGCATCTACTGTTTTTAGAAATATATATTTCAAGTATATAAATGTTTATAGACAGCTTAGATGAGAGCTCTAGGGTCATGGTTCAGGTATGGTGACGTGAGTTGTATCTGGATGAGTATTTAAAAGCATCTAGGGTATAGGAGGGTGAGAAAAATACTTCAACAATTTAATATTGTAAAAATTCATTATGTGACATTCATTATAAAAGCAGTATAATATATAAGTCCATCTTTTTAAGTTTCTTAAAACAGTGCTTAAAATATATATGTTCATATTCACATTCAAATCTCTGTTTATAAACATGTCTATTTTTACAACTATATATTAGGTGTACAATTTTGGTCAAGTCATAAATGTACAAATGGGAAAAATTCTTGAGTGGTTTTATGTATATGCATACATAATACATGTATGCAAATATGTGCGTTATAAATCAGAAAATTATTGACTTTAAAATATGAGTAAAAAAATGTTCACGTATGTTACCGTCAGGACCGAAAGGATTAATAACTACATAAATTGTGCAGCGTCTGCGTCGGGAATGGAACAGCTTGTTTTTTTACGCCTATAAACATTGGAAAAAGTTCTGGTCCTTTCGATTCTGCAGATCTAAAATAATATTTATAGATTTATATAGGTTTAAAGTCATTAATGTGCAAATATATTCAGTAAGATTTCTGGTATGAAATATCAAGAGTATTTAGTATTTAATAATATTTGAAGGTGTATATGTATAATTATATATGAAATGCTTACATTTGTTGACTACGTAATTAAACTCAAGCTTGTTTCACGTATGAATTTGATTTTCATTATTTTTTGACGATGCATTTTGTCATAATTATTCATTTATTATTTGCGTACGATATCGACCAATCGCTTGTGGCTTGTTCCAGGCCGACAATATATAATATAATGATGGACATTGAACAGAAACAAAATAAATAATTTAAATAACGAGGAAAGGGTTTGTTGCTTACTCTGCCAATAATTTAATTTAAAATAATATCTTGATTTGTATAATTAATAATAACACCTTGCTTACTATGCCCTAATACATGAACGATATTACTTCAACCAGTACCATTCTTCTGGAATGCATTAACCGTACCATTCGAGTTATTGCCGCATGTTGACATGCCCCTACAGGAGGATCCGTTCCATTCCATAATTTACGTCTGATATCAGAGTGAATGTGGAACTATCAGCACAGACGTCAGGAGCAATCAGAACATGAATAAATTAGAACCGATTGCCGTTTGATAGAAACGCGTCTTGCCCTGTACTGTCGCGTTCCCGTCCTCGAACTCCAGTTCGCGGAGGGGCGTGATCGATCAATCTGCGATGCATTTGCCATTAACCGAGTCTTCCTGTTTAATTTTCAGGTTCGGTCGAAGCACAGGGGTCCAATTAGAGGGAGACACACGGCGACTTCCGTTCTGAGACGGTCGACTTCGCGAAAGTGGAGCGGCTACGCGGGATCCGGTTTCGGAAGGACGGAAAAATATGAGCATCTCGTAAAGTCGGTTAAAGTGCAGCTTCAGACACTTTCAGAAGGGGTATACCATGGAGACCGAAGAACTCACTAGGCTCGTAGATGAGATCTACAAGGTAAGCGCTCGATCGATCGCGAGATCACCTCACCTTGCAGGTATCGCGACATTCGCCGGTTTCTCTTCCATGGCGAGTAGAAATCGCTCGCGGAAAAACAGGAAAGTTCTGTCATGCTTTCGACGAAATTAATCGATCGTTGCGTTAGATCAAGTGCGCAATTAAGCGACATCGGGGTCGATTAAGGCAACTCCTTTCAGAGCCAATGACGAACCAGTCGTGGCTATGGAATGCGAAGTTTAAGGTTATCAATCAGTTACAGATCGCAACAAGCTCTGCAGACCTGGCGAGCATTTATTAATTTTAAACTACAACAAGAGGCATGTTACATTGTATTTCAATGGTTTTGGCGAAGAAGCTGCAAAAAGTGATCGCAACCCGACGTGTTTGCGTTCGCCTCGGCACGATTGTATCACGGAATCCTCGAAATTCGTTTCCTCCGTTCTATGTATCTCCGTTTTACTGCACGTTTCCTTCCGCCTGGCGGAGAAATACGAATTGCCCTGGTTTTGTGTCTCGTCCACGGATTCCCTCGCGATTATTCCCTTACCTTGGCCCGACGAATTTTCCACCGAGTCCCATCATGCGAATGGGAACATCCGTGTAAACACCAAGATACCTCGTTCACGTGTCACCCGATATAATAATGAAAAATACGTTTACGCGCGTTGCCTTCATACATAGCTTCGAGCTCTCTTCCGAGTACACAAGCTTATAAAAGATTTCGCAAAAGAGACTTTAGATTAACGCAGAGGGTACATTTTTTGTCAGGTGAAATTTTACGTAGGCTAGTTGAACATCTGTCTATTTTAATTTTGTTAGTTGGGTATTAGAACATAAAGCAGTGAGTTTGTAATTTTCACCATGGGATAATAAGTAATTGTTGGATATAGTCGAAGGTTGATTTCCCATGGAATGTCAGAAGGGATAAATAAGGGTTTTATGTAAATATCTGACTGTCTGCAGTGGCACTTATGATTTGGTACATTTTTTGTTTGTACGTAATCACCTTAACTAAAAACTTCTTAATAAATATTAAGTTTAGTATCCACAATGCACTTATCGTACAGAAACCAAGTGCGGGAATACGAATTAAAAACCCTCGATTTTCCTCTGATGGCGAGAATCAATTTCACGCGGAATTTATTTTCAAACCGAAGCAGTCAATTTTCTTCACCTGTGACACGAATAATCCGGCGAGAAATACGAGCTGCGTCGTTGGGGGCTCGAGATTCTAACGAAAAACTCCCTAGGCTGTGCATCCCGCGGTTAATCTATCTATTTACCCCACCACTTATGTGGCTGTCTGTCTCGAAAATGCGCGTTTACGCGAAAACCCGTAGACACGCTTACCGCAGAATTTCCTGATAATTAGGTGTCGCCTCGGAAAATTATCCGTCGCGAATACAAACAGGGGCGAAGGAGGAAGCAAAGAGAGAGAGAGAGAGAGAGAGAGAGAGAGAGAGAGAGAGAGAGAGAGAGAGAGAGAGAGAGAGAGAGAGAGAGAGAGAAGGGGAGTCGTGAGTGGTGGTGGCGTTCACGGGAGCGAGAATGATTAGGCGGAAGGTAATCTTATTAGTCGTTCGGCAGTCAAGCTTTCCTTTAAACTCTGGCGCTCTTCTCTACGCCCCCTGTCCCGGTCCTTCACACCCTGGAACTTGGTCTCTCCCATTATCCCTCCAGACGCAGCTCCCGCTATGCGAGCTAACGACAGATATTCCGTGGGAAACATGAAAACGGCTCGAAGAAACGCTACTAAGCAGTAATGATTTCTGCCGGCTTACGACGGCTTACAAGGTTCCTGTTTTCGACGATTCATCGAGTCGAGTCATAAATTACTTCCGCTGCATTGGGGTCTCCGCGACGACGCTCCGAAGGCATTGGGTGATGGTAAAATCTCTCCTGAAGGAATGTATGATATCAAGTACATCGAACTGTGCAGACAACGAAACGATTATTAATGTAAATTACATCGGGAGTCCATAACGAGTCGCGTTTCGATAAATTAATGGAAGTCCGTCGAAAATACGATTCGAAATTCTCGTTCATGCGCCCGGGCAATTTCCCATGGTCTTTTTTCAGCAAACGCTCCTCCAGGAATAAATTATGCAACAAAGTTATCGCGAAACCTGAATATTCCGGGAACTTTCCAGCCGTGAAATCACCAGCTACCTGATACATTTTTAACTTACGGGTTTATTTTCATCCGTCAACTTCCCCGACGCTTTGAATTTCCACGTGAATTTTCCAGCGAAACACCGACGATTGATCTCTCGCAATTAGTGTGCCGAGTGTTATAATAAAAATTATTGGAAGTTGCCGACAAGGTGATAATTGACACCTGGGAAGGCGAAAGGATCGAGCACGTATCTCAAAGTGCGTTCGAAACCTACTTCTTCGGGTTCTTTTCCTTCGGGTGTAATAAAATAAATTGACAATTTCACCATGAGTTGGAAATAAATTAGAAATGAAGAAATTTCGCAAAAAATGATAATTAAATAGAGCGGATGATACAGAATTTAAAATACGGAGGAATTAAATACATTTCTCAACGTTGGAATGAAATTTGCGTATTTGAATTCTATATTATAGGTCTAATGAAAAGCCATAAAACTCTGCAGTTCTAGTATGACAGGTAGAATTACTACTTTGAAAGTTTCATAAGAAGTGATATTGTCCATGCAAAATTCAGGAGACAAAGAATTTCACTTAAAAGCGAAATCTACGTATTTATTTTCATTTTCTGTAAACCTAGGAAGAAGTCACAAAATTTTGCAATGCGAACAGTATGTAAAACACCGTCTCTTCCTTTGTAAATTTCGCAGGAAATCATGAACTCTGCAGTTGATGCAGATTACAGCACGAAGTTCGTCGCGATTCAAAGACGCAAGCCTGGTGGATCTTGAGTCGAAAAAGAAGAAACGTGGTGAAATAATGCCGGGGTCTTTCAGCGTTCGCCTCGCCAGAAACAAGATTTGTATGGGGCTTATTATATTCCTTAACATAATAAGCAGTTTCAGTCCGTTCGAAGAGGGAACGATATAAACTCGTTAAGCTAAAGAAGAGCATCTGTCTACGTCTTTGAATAATTCTCCCGAGGCATTTAATGCAATGAAATTGTTTACAGTAATTGTCGTCTTCTTTAAGTAAGTTTCTCAGTTACGGTGCGTTAGACTTAACCGTCGTCGAAGGGAATGGGCGAGTCTGGAACTGTTTGGGCGCCCAAACACGTAGACGACGCGAGTAAGAATCAAATTATGTTTGCAAACGTTGTTTTCTTAAGGTTTATTTCTTTCATTCTTACACTTTGGTAGAAATTAAAAATAATAGAGGCTCGGAGTCTCACACTCCGACCAAATAATCATTTTCCACCATAGTAAATTGTAAACCATCAATAAACCGCGACGAATTGGGGGAAGCAGGGGTACCTCGCAGTCCGTCCAATTAAATATGATCGAACGAATTAATATCGCTACACGAATAGCTTCGTTAAGACACCATTCCGCTCGAATTAGTAGCGCCGTTTCAGACGCTTTCCCTGTCTTTTCACTTTCTCCGTGGATTCGGCTTGAAAAGAGAGGATATTAGCTATAAATTCAACGGCGGTTAAAGTTATTAAACGTAATTACTGGTGAAAAGCTCAAGGGGCGGACCGCGGTATGGGCTCCCCTTCTCTCGTGTCCCCACGGTAATCGATCTAACGTTCGCGTCTAGGGGCCTGCAGGAAATAAAGGATACAAATCGGTTTTCCAGGTGGACGAGGGGGTTGCACGGCGTATTTCGACGTGTTGAAATTAAACTGCAGTCGGACGATCGCGGGCCGGCGCCGGCGGTCGCGATGCTGTACCCGCGCGTAATCCAGGATAATCCTTTAATTTTTGCGGATTCGATTTTGCAGGGGTAGGTCGCATGCGTGGCTGTACATACGAACCAGCTTGAACCTTACACATGACACAACGGGTAAAGGCTGCTATTTGTATCTGCCTGCGCATATATTAATCATACCAGGGGGGTTGTACCCGTGTTTGTACAGGGTCCGCACGTGTATCGATACATAGATCGGCATAGATCGCGGTATTGAGATGTACGCGGAACGTGTATTGATCGTCGAACTCTGTGTTGTCCCGCTCCCTCGCTACCCCGCCTGTGTGAATCGCCGTTGGACGGAAATTTACAGGTGTACCCGTGTCGTCGTGTTGCGTCGACTTATTTGTGTACCGTTCGTGCCCTCGGACAAGGGGATGCCCCGTTATGCGGTAACAATAAACGAGTTTTGTTAATCAGTGACGAAATTGCCGGATTACGAGGAACTTAATGGGATCAGCATTATCGGCTTAATCGGTTGCGATTTTTCCCGGCGATTTTGACTAACGTTTTATGGGCATGGAATATTTACTACAATTTCCCGATTTAAACCCTTTGCGAATACTTTTTATTACGGACCTCGTATTCGGTGAAATATTCATTGTGTTGGCATGTATTTTTACGTAGGGTATTTTATAATGGATTTAATGGAACTGCAACTGAAATCTTGTTTAATTTAATTTGAATTTAAAACTCGGATAATCCTGAATTCATTTATATTTTTATTACGTACAGGGATTACTTTGCAATATTATCATTGTTCTCTATTAGGATTTAGTGGTACTAGAATGAGGACTCAGGAACAATCAATAAAATTAATTATTCTATTATTCCACTGGATACTAAAATAAAAATAAATACTACCACTCTATCTACCACATTGAGTACTATCCAAACCCATAAAATTCCTTACTAATAGCAAATCGTTCACTCAACAACGCCACAATATGCGTTACTTAAAATTAAACATTCCCCGAGATTTCTTCTCACCTCAACAACGTAATTTTGTTTCGCCGAGGTGGTGAGATGATTAAGGATTAATTAACACTCCTCCCAGCTCCTTCTCCACGTCACCGCTGGAACTTTCTCGATTCGCATCCGATTGGATGATTACGGTTTCGAGATAAATTACTTGT